TGGTGGGAGAGTAGAGTAGTGGCATTGGGCCCTACCACAAGACAATATGAGAAATAGACATTAAACATTTAACGCGGAGAAATACAGAAGAATGGAGAAGGTGGGGAGAATGAAATGAATTAATCGGAGTTAATCATATGGCATGGCTCGACCATGCAGGCGTGGTCCCTCCTGCTAAATGTTACGTTATGTCTTTTATTCATATTAAATATATTGTTCCATCTCTAGCCTAAGATTGTTCTATATCATGTATTGGTAATTGTTACGACGCAGTGAGTTGGTGTAGATGATGATGTGACTTCCACGTAAGATCTTATAGATTAGGCAGTTACATCATAACAAATCTGCAATTTTAGGATTAGGTCTGTTATTAGAGCAGTGCTAATATCATAGTAGACCATAATTCTACAGGTTCTTCAGGTTTAATTTTCACATAACACACACTCGCTTACCTCTGTTACTTATCATTTTCTAAACTGCCGTCTCTCATACTTTCTCCTTACATTGTCTCACATTTTACTTTTTAGTCTATTGTATAGCGCGTACAGTCACAGCGTTGTCGCCAGTACCTATACCGTACCAAAACGACAAGCAGTAAAGGCAAATGTCTTTATTCAGAAGTTAACAATAGGTTTAAAATTACTATTTCTGGATGGAGGATTACAAGAAAACCTAAGATAATATCAGATAAAAGGCCCCAGAGTAATGTGAGAAACACGGATCTCTCAACTTTCAGATGTGAGTACCCAACTTAGCAATCAGGATCACATAATTTCTCATGTCCCTAATTCTATTAAGACTAGTGAGCAAAAAAATATGACAGAATGGAACTTCTGAACTTACGCGTTGTGCTAACATTATGCTCGAAACAACAACAACAACTATCTCATGCTCGTCGTTCGTTAAATCAGGGACTCAGCATTTGAACGCAACTTTCGCAGCGGCTGCGTTCACTGTCGCCGTAATAATATAATATTTCTACCAGGGCAGGTACATGCCATTTTTTACAGGCATGGTCTATAAGTAATAAGACAGTACTACATGTAATGGCACAGTTTATACAATGTAGAATAAATATATCAACTGGGCTAATGAAAGAACTAAATAAGACCCTAGTGGAAACAATCGTATAAATCCCAACAAGTTTATCTAAATTATCAAACACATGTTCAGCCAAACTTGGGACTATGAAAGTCGTAATTCCAGCTCGTAAGCTGATGAAATTATCAGCTGCTGCTAATACCTCGGCATCTGTCAGCCGTAGATGGTAACGGGTGATCGCTGTAAAGGAAGCCGACAGAAGAATAGCTCTCCAAACACTAAAAAGGATGATAAATAGGTCAGACAAAACTTCTGCAACTTTTTCCACGTCTCAGAGTTGAACTGTTGTTTATTAGAAGATGAGACAGTCTTTGAAAACGAAATGGGACAAATATCGTACAGTGCCGGGAAAGAGTACTTCATCTTTAACAGGGTCAAAATGAAACAAAAGATAAATCCCCCACATTAAAGGCAACTTTACGTACAGCACACATTAGGGAAAAATTTCAACTCACACTGTCGTATCCGAAGATGAAATTATGGGTAACTTCCTAGAACTAATTATATAGTCATTATATATATATATATATATATATATATATATATATATTCTTACAGTACATCAATTACATTCATATATGCTTATATCTTTTTTATCATGGGCTTTCATTCGACATATTGGCTACCACCATAAGATTTACTAAGCTCAGACTACTAATTACAGTCTCTCATACTCACAGCCGCTTCTATCCTGATCCTATATAATCACCATTGTTATTTTATAGTTTGATGCGATCTGGTCTGCTTGTATATAAACTAAGTATGTCCGAAACATATCATTCATACAATAGAGGCTGAAATTGTGTCCTGACGCAAGTGGGCTGTGATAAATGAAGAATTACTAAATGGAGGGCCAAAACGTTTCGAGGTTGACGCAAGGCTGCTAGTGCTGGTCGACATGTCATTGGTCTGACACAGTAACAAAGACATAGAAGTTCGTATTTTGACTGGCGATTTGGCCAAATGATAAGTGACAAGGGTAAAGACATAACAAAATTCCAGAGACCATAGGTTAAACGATATTCTGGAATCCCAGTTAAACGCAAAAACTATGGGCCGTAAGAGATGTCACCTGCGGAAATTCATATTGCACATTAGCAAACAGCTAAGAACCAACTAGCGTGGTTGCTCACTGAGTGCCTAAGCTAGTAGGTATTAATTGTGATAGAGTCCACGAACACCATGTGGAACAGTGGCTTCGGCGATAATGTAGAATAAGCCTTCACACCGCTACGATAGTCCGTGTGTATAGAGCTATCCCGCTCGTTATATCGCATGACCATTAGGACTGTTTGTCTGAAGGCTGTGAACTTGTAATACTCACAACAACTTTACTGGTGTACTTCGAGGACCGATCTCTCCAGCCATACCAGATGTTGTTGGAGACAAACCAGATCAGAAAGATGAAATCAAAAAAGTCTAATACACCTCAGTGTCGGTGGACCTTTATCAACAATCGACGGTACGGAACGCATAGACCATGGTCACGCTAATGAAACACGTTACACAGACGAAATAACTGATTACGGCAGTTGTCATGAAACTAGTCAACACACTTTAATTATCAATCCGCTTATAATCAAGAAGATATTTTTTGCTGTAGAAAAACACCAGGTGATGCGACAAAGCTTCAAGTGCCTCTACAACGACGTAAAAGGACTATTAGCTAAATCAGGCGCAATCAGATACATGTGCTTTAAATTAGATCTGAAGATCATAGTCCTAAGTGAAAAATGGCTATCCCCATCCATCGTGAATGAACAAGTGAACGTGCAAGGTATGACACTTTTCAAAGACAATAATATGTCAAAGTAAGCCGGCAGAGTGTTAAAATACCTGAACTATAAATCCTGGAACAGTGCGTGTAAATCATTAGGGCACTGGTGGGTGGGCTTTTCTGTGGTCACTAGATGAATATTAACTCTTAAGGTGATGACACAGGCCACACTCTCCTCAAGCTTTACATGGAAAGACACAGACAAAAACAGACTCATCGCATCACTCCAAATACAGTCAAAGATAATGGAAAGACTAGTCAACGAACAAATGAGGGAATAAATGGATAAAAACAACAACCTACGTGAAGTTCTTTATGGGTTCAAGGAGGATGCGTCCAGTGCGTCAAACCTTATCATAACATGTGAAAACGAAACTTTTGAGTTGGCTTCCGAGAAATATAGCGGAGCCTCCAGAGGCCCTAAAGGAGCTGAAGAGTCCCAGCCAATCAGAGCATGGGGGAGCTTTCTAGAATATTGACATGGTATGCTAATATTGGTCAGTAGCATAATATGTCTTTTAGCGAATCGGTCAAAATATAATGTTGATTTGACATATGCTCATAATCTATAAATACCTATGATTTTTTGTACAAAAATGGACTTTTGGAGTGAACTGCTTTCCGCGAATTTCGCGCCTTTTCTCTCGTGTTCAGGTCGCTGCATATTTCTAGCTTGCGGGTTACCAGAATAGCCTAGGAACTGAATAAAGCGTTCAAAATTAACAAGACTTATCACAAACGACCTTCTTGGACCATAAGATACCTGTTCACTTAATATTACTCAATTTCGCAAACGTCTTTGACACAGCAACCCACATAATCATCATACCAAGGGTTGCTAAGATGGGTTTCACAGACCTACATTTGCCTTCGCTCCGAAGCTTCCTAAAGAACAGAATGTTTTACGCGAAGAAATATTCAGTGTGCGAGACTTGGAATGTTTCATAATCGGAGTGTCATAAAAACAATCTTGGATCCAATTCTGTTCTTGGTGTTAATGAACAATCTGCTGGATAAAATAAGATCAACAGCAATGATCGATATAAACAACGAAAAGATCTGAATGCTTGTTAAAACTTGACCTGTCAGGATGCCATGTTATGAACACTCAGACCTATTTGAAACATAGCACTTCCTCGGCAATTCGCTTGCAATTGGCTCTTCATAGTCTGATCTCAGGCTTGTAACCGCAGAAAGCCTAGAAACCGGTCCAAATTATACAGTGAATTCAGCCAAGGCAAATGTGACTTTCCACGTTATATGTGGGAGACTTGACACAATCACCCCTGAGTTGTTTTTAGCACTATTAAATACACATTTATGACCCCACCTTGAAGTCCACAGTGTCGTCCTTCGCCTCATTTTCAAAAGATATATAAAGAATGCGGGAAATCAATCGACTGAAAGGCCCAAAACATAACCTTGGGTTATTCTGTCTGAGATAAAGGGGAATAAGCGAGCTTATCATCGGAAGCTTATCATCACCCTCCTCGAAGCAACCCTCAATAAATGCAAGCTTGGAAGAGAACAATCGGGTACTCTCTCACTTTCGCTCACTAACAGTTGCCCTACACGGAATGCATACCCAGCTAAGGGGACCACAGCATTCTCAGTTAGTAGTTTTGGGAGTGGCTTGGATAACACATACTCATCTGTGGATTGCCACCCCATCTTTTGGACCAGTTGTATCTGACGCATGTCTTAAAAATTTCTGCAGTTATCATCATCACATATCAGTAATTAATCCCAATCTCTCTTACTCTCATCTCCGTTCGTCTCTTATTCTTTCATCCCGTCTTCTCACATATCATCAGCCAAGTAAATCGATTATTTATTCTTGAAACAGTTGCCTTCTCCTAGAGATCGAGTTATCCTGTTACTATCTCCACATTGTGACCAAGCAACCTCCTATCTGGTATTGTGATACTGTCCAGTGATAAAAGCACTCACTCTACAAGATATACAAACCCACAAATAACTACCACTGTCTAGTTGCTAGGCTATAACCCATTTGACATAACCAAATATTTTGAGCGATACTGAAACTACAGCAAGTTAATGCAAAGAACTCCATTGGCTTATACAAGCCTGTGACAAAAATATTGGATATTTGAAGGTCAACACTCTGGTGATTAATAACTGCGCAGATTTTGACGTTAATACATTATCACTAAATAAAATTACAAACACTGAGTGTCTCTTGCTTGCAAATAGCGTAAAAGTGAGCTTTCTAAATTTGTGTGGACCATGCAAGTCTAATTAATTTTCTTATGCTAAATTATAGCGTGAATCAAAAATAACATTTTCAAGTAGATAAATTTTGTTAACAAAAGCTTGTTTATTACTTATAATGAAACACACATAATTATCACTACTTTATTTGCTGTTCCTGTTTTTTTGATTTTATAACCGGCTTCTGAAATCTATTTCAGGTGTTGACATTAGCAAAAATCGATCTCCTTATTTCCGGTAACAATTTTTCCGTTTTTTTAAAGCGAACCATTCAATGTCGATATCTGTAAACAGTTAACAAGTTTGAAATTTTAATTCGTTACTGTTGAGATATTTTTCTTTCATTTAGAAACCTATTGAAATAATATTATCACTATTTACCTTGAAGTATATTAAAAGATAACTTGTTGCATTGTTGCCTATGTTTAGCCCTACGATTCTTGAGATTTATCTCAATTATCTGCCCAAATTTTGAATTTTTTCTCTTTTGTCATGCGTTGCTGTCACTCGTGACGGTTATTCATACATCTTCATTGCCACAACTTATTATCAACTGGACTCACTGTCACTGACTTCCCCACATAAATATATGTGCGCCTTCATTTTCAGATTCAGCCTATTTTCAGTCAGCAGTAGGCTGAGTAAACTTTGCAAGTTTTGGGTGTGGCATTCTTTCATTTGATCCGACTTCTTTGAATGCATTGACAGATGGTGTTTCAACCACGTGCTCAGGTAATGAATTCCATCCGTTGATGATTTAGTGAAAGATTCGTTAGTCAACTGACAAGTATTTTATTCTGGACTTTTGACATTTTTAGAGTTTCCTAATTTTAAAAGACACGAAAAATGAGGGATTGTTGAATGCATGCCCACCATTAAGTAAATTAAAAACTGCTATTCAGTCAATCCTCGTTCTTTTAAATGACAATTGGGACAGGTTTAGTTTAGTCAGTCTCCCTTCATACGGTAGCTTTGCGTTTCGGAAACCAACTAAGCTGTGTTTCTCTGAACCCTCTCCAACAGCTCACTGTATTTTTAGGCAGAGGATAGCTTGTCGTATGCAATACTCGAGCTTAGGATGAACGGACACAAGTCAAGAAGATTTTAGTATCAACATGGTTTGAGGCTTTATGTAATAATCAAAGGGTTCTAAAATCTCTGGCGGCTGTCGCACGACAGCGTGAAGTAGTTTTCAATTCTTGACTAACGATGACTGGTAAGTCCTTCTTTGTCTAAACAACGGGTAGCTCAGTGTTATTCACCGTGAATTTATCTGTACCTTAGTGACCAATATGCATCATAATGCACTTGAAAGAGTCTATTGGAAACCGCCAAATTTTAGACCACTCAGGTATTTGCTGTAGGTTATTTTGAACCTCAAAACTATCACTTTTCTTTTCATCACTCTTTATATTTTGATATCGACAACATGTAACAAAACCGATGATGGTAGGAGATTGCGTACAGGCTCAAAAAATTAAATCCTCAAGTGCTTCGCTAACCACAATTGCCCAGCTAGGCGAACTGGAATCAACCCATACTCTTTTATTGATGACCAACCTAAAAATCTATTATCCACATAATTAAGTTGCTTTTGATCCCGATAACTTAGATAACATCCGGTTGTGAGGATCTTATTCGAAAGCCTTACTGAATTCAATGTAGACTTCATCTATGGGTAGCTTTTGAGGATCAAGAGCGTTTCAACCCTCACAAATTACTAATAACCTATTTTCGAACTGTATCTCTCTTTATAGCGAACCTTGTTTCCACTTATATACTTAAACAACCCCTTCCGAATAATCTTTCTAAAATTTTAACAATCATTATGATTAGGATTGTTGAACAAGAGACCATCATTGCGTAGTCGAACAATTATAAATATATATATATATATATATATATATATATATATGCTTCATTCAATACCTGTTTAAATGGTTACCGATATTTTTGTCAAATCGGCTTGTTATTCAACAATAGGACTGAATCTTCGCATGATTTTCTCTCTGACTATTTTACGCTGATGGCGTTTCGTAATCAGCTTTTTGCCCTTTGCAAACATGGATCAATATTGATAAAAAGGGCACACATAACAAGACATTGGTTACTTATTGCGTTATCTCTGTAAGTAATTTTATAGAGCCTGGAGAATACATTATGAACTTTTGGCTTTTGTTGTATTGACCCTTATGAGTTTAAATTTGTCTAATATCCATATTCAGCCACGTTTCTACTCATAATTCAGCCAATGAAAACTCTAGTGGACGTTGACGACGACTGTTATTTGTGCAAACTAGTTTAAACATCTAACAGCTTTTGGTGCATTCACAAGCAAAAAGCATAACTCATACTTCCATATTTTCATTATATATTGGATAAATTAATTTACTATAGTAGAAGATAATGAATTTTATCAGTTGTAATGATGGAGTTCGACTTTTATTAGAGTTTTTGTATTTTTGACAACTGTGAATGTGAACGATGTTAATAGCCGATTTATTTCACAGTCATTCTTGTAAATCATGTTGACTGTACTGAAAATTTGGTCGTACTAGGATTTGACGGGAAACTTTAGAGTTATTTGAAGGAAAATAGACTAGCCGGCGTTAAGTAATGGTTGGAGGTAGTTGACAGGAAACCCTGAGCCTAGGTTTCGTGTTATTTGGCACTCATCAGTAGGGCGTAACTGTAATCGTGAGAAAACTGATGCTACCTGGCGGATTAGACTCCACCATATGTCTCAACATAGTGCACATGATGTCAAGTCACCTCGACTGGGAACCACATTACAATGTAAATGACAGAATTTGATCCACACTTAGAGGAACCTAGAACACATGACATTGGTCATTATCTAGGTATCGATCAAGTGTAAATAGTCGGCGTTAATTTAGGCTAGAAGTAGGCGATTTATACAAAACTCAAGTGATTGGCGTGCATTTACGCTAAAGACGATTGTTGCGAGAGGTGAGAAAAGTAGAATATTTTGTGTTAATTTAAATTAAGTGAGGGTTAAGGTGTTAAATCTGAGAAGTCTTCTCTCAGTGTGGGAATTTAAAGGGTAATCAGAATTATTTGTCCCTGACTGGATAAAAAGGCGAAAACTTGATGAATTGTTTATTATATTCACGTCGACTTTTCGTAAAGATTTTTCCCAATATTTCCACAAAGTTGCGCTTTATTTCCCCCATTTGTTTGCTCTATGTCGCCGGATATGGTGTGTTTTATTCCACAATGTCATATTTGGTGGCGTTACTGATCAGTAGCTACAAATATCTGTCGAAAAACTTCACATTAAGATTTCTCAACTCCCTTCTAAAACCACCAGAAATATATAACTACAGCTTTGACAAGTTGCTAGAGCGGATAAAATGGAAAAGCAAATAATTTATCAACTAAGAAGAAAGTTCAAAACATGCAGTTTATGCAGCATCTGGTTTAGTACTAAAATATCTAACATAACTTCAACTTGAAAATTCATCAAAGTGCTACAAAACCATACGTCTACATCCTTTGAGACATTGTGCAGGTTCTAAGTTGCGTTTGATTGACCGACTAGTTGTATAGATTTCCTCAACTTCTCAACTCATAACTCATTACATAATACAAAATTTTCTAACACAGTGAAAGAATGTCATTTGTTTCTCGATTTCCAAGCACAGGAATAATAAATAGTTTAGGTCATTTTCAATCAATTAGGTTGTCTTATGGTGTTCCTTATAACACACACGTCGCTCGATTCTGAACACTCATATTTGTTCTTTTCAAGTATTCGCAAGTTGACGTTGAGTGTTTTTATATCTGCGTATGCATGCATGTTTATCTATATTTATAAGCTGCTTAGTCGCTTATCTATGTGCATGTGTTGGATACATCTTTAACCTAATGTAAACATAATTAACCCTTGGTACACTTTTTGTTTGGTTAACAATAATCAAAGACCACACTAAATTCGTCTGTTAATTTTTGTTATTTGTCCTTTTGAACATGGATATCTAAAATAAAATCCTTCTAACTTAATTCGTATCAGAATTTTATTACTACAGTCTCTTAATAAGGTCAGCCAAAGTATAATACATGGAATTAAAAGAGAGATTTCTATTTCTTGGCCCATTTATCATCGTCTATAGTGGAGTAGGACCGTTGCTAAAGTTTTCACATTGTAAAAGCTTGTAGAAAGTTTGATCGACGATTGTATGATAAAGTATATAATCGGGATTAATATCGAATATTTTTGTCAGTTTGGGATAAATTTATATACTACTGAAATTATAAAGTTTTCACTTATGTTCTATTCTTCGAGTGCACCAAAGCTCTAGAGATCAGATCAATCAGATACTGTGGATACATTTTAATGATTCGCTTCTTTCTTGGTTGAAAGCCTATTATGATAGTAATTACAGTCACTTATTTCGTATTTATATGTATGATTTTAAATTATAGAGTATTCTTACGGTACCTTGAAACAAACTTGACAGCATAGGTGGAATAAGCGAATGGGAAACTGTGTTGAATAGTAACAGACTGCTTACAACCAGTTTCATAGGTAGAGAGTTTGCTTTATATATTTATGTTACTTTGTTGTTGTCGATCTCTGAAGTTCATGATGTGCAAGACGTCCGTACAACCCAATGCTGTGAGTAACAGTGCTTTTACACATTCTATGCTTAAAATTGAATCACTTGGAGATAGCGCTACGTTTTTTTTAACGAAATGAGTTCATTCTTAAGGACAGAACTGTATAGGAATCACTGTTATAAACTGATCTTGATTACCTACAAAAGATAGATAGCAGGATCATATCTTAATTTACGATATATCAAGTAAACCAAATCATCTCAACAAAGTAATCCTACCACAGGATCAACAATAAAAACTCGATTAACTTTGCAACTGACCAACCCATGATAAACTCGTATAAATACTAATCCATAATAATTTTCTTATTACATCTTGATTAGAACTTTCAACTTTAATTTCATAATCTCCTTATCTTTTTATCAATCACAATTACCTTTTCCTTCCATAGAATAATCTTGAAAATGTCAGGAGTACATAGAAAAGGTCAAAAACTCCATAAAAATGCTTTAATGATACGTAGACGTGTTTCAAGTTCATTCTCTAAAAAATCGGATCCAGAAAAACGTTTATCAAAAGCAACGATTCGTTTAATTGATGAATCTGGTATAGATTTAACACCATTACCATTATTAAGTGAAGATAAACGAATTCGTGATGAAAAAGATACTATGGTTAGTTTATACTTATAATTGTCATCATATTATCAATTAAGAGTGCTGATATCTCTCAATCATCAAATCTTGGTGGAAGTAGTTTACATATTACAAATCCTTTTACATTTACACGATCTTATATAAGTGGATCAAGTCCAACTGGTGAATCACATTCAGAGACTAGTGAAGAACATGATCGTTATCAAACATTTACGGGTAATTGTTATTATTATTATTATTTTGAAAATAGAATTTTCATATAACTAATATTTAGAAAATAATAATTTAGTAGTTGAATTCATCAGTCAATTGAAGCTAGACCACTATGGAAAATCTGAAAGTACTGGACGGCAGTTTCGTTCAAGTATGGGATTCCTCAGCAATACACACTCATTGGGCAGTTGGAAAACTTTGATTCCAAACCAATATTGCATATGGACTCCAGGATCCTGAAGGAACAAATGGTGTATAAACCTATTGTTAGTCATTGGCTACCATGAGACTGTATCTCTTTACGTTACTCCATTGTCTTGTGGATCAGACCTTTAGATAGAAAGCTCGGGGTATGACCCTCTTCAGAAAACCACCAGCTTCGATTTGGGCATCCAAATAGTATGACAGCCTACACAGAAATCAAGTGACTTATGTGGCGCATGTATATTCGGTGACCCTTTTGTACCAATATTTATGTGTTCAAATAAATAAATAAATAAATATAATCTTCACAAATTCCCATACTATTCTTCGCCCATTTGTGCCAGATCTCATATAAATTCAGTAAATAATTAATGTATGTTTGAGACAAAACGTAATTCATGTGAGCAATTCAAATTCTTTCAAAGTTTCATACATTAGATGTAAAATACTTCATCAATATGGGGTTGTGAAGATTGATTGAGATCATGAACTGATTGATGTTAAACCACTACTGAAAACCTGAAAGTACTTATTAGGACAAAATGGTCGTTCAATGGTGGTTGAACAACAATCGGTTCATGATCTCAAATAAAAATACTATCAAAAAAGCTTGAGATCAGGGTTTTAATGTTTGATTATTTATTTTATCATTCAAAATGCATCTATTTTTATAGTCGATATAACTGAGATATAGTTTATTGATTAAGATACTAAGCATTTACAAGATATAATGCCATTCTGCTTATTTCACTTATGATAAAGTTAGTTGCTTAATATAAATTTTGCATAGAAACAAAAGCGAAGATAGATGTCGGCTAGTAGTGGAATCTAATTTGATGTGCGTTTCATCTTATTTGGGACTGGTCAGCTGGATGTGCCTGTATCACAGAGTTGATGTTCATTTCGGGATGGACTAGAACCCAGTACCGTTCGCTTCAAACACCGTCACGTTATCCGCTTAGCTACTGAGTCCTGATAGCCAATGGCTTGTACAATGAGGTGAAGGTTTAAATTAACTTGATACTGTTTACTTGTATCATCCCATTGCTAATAGGACTACAATTAATCAGACTGTTATTATTGGCATATATTCATCTTGTGCGGATAGTCTCTATATTATCTTAAGTCACAAGCATTATAAGCAAAGATGAATAGTGGCGAGTAGTGGGATCCAGTTTGACGCGCATTTCAACCTATTTGGGACTAGTCAGCTAGATGTATCTGTATCTCAGAATTGATGTTCACTCCAGATATCAAACCCAGTAGCTAAGTGGATAACGCAATCGAGTTGGCATAGCAACTATAGTTGATAGTTCAGGGAAAAATCTTAAAACTTCCTTAATTATTAATCTTATTTATTAAATTTATGTTTTATTGCTATTTTATTAGAAGTTAAAACACTGATACAACCAAATCAAGAAATTTTAACTGAAATTGATTTAAACAAATTAGTCAATATAATTATTGCTGAAACAGAAACATTTTGGATATTTGATCAACCGCCAAAATTTATTCCTGAAGATTCAATTCAATCAGAAGAACAATTAAAACAAAATGAAATTTATAAAACAGTTAAGTATTTCCAATGAGTTTTTTCCGCTTTTTTTTTAAATATCTTATTATGTTTAATATAAGACATTAACACCATTGGATGCCACCGGCTCAATAGAGTAGTGATAAAGCGCTCGCGCGCGAGACTGATAGGTCCTGGGTACGTGTTGTATGTGTGATCATGGATGTGCACAGCTGACGAGTCCCACAATAGAACGAAACGGTCATCCAATGCTTCCAGGTGTTTCATGGTGGTCTAATTTCAACTATTAAATTACTACAATATCCACGAAAAACACTTCTCTGATTGTAATCATCATATGCTCACTAGTGACAGTCTCCAAGAATTATTTCCTGGAGTTCCAGTCAGAAGCAGTGACCGGTGGAGTTCGATTGGGTCTGTTGTGAGATAGTAACTCATTGATGACAACGGTGGATGGTGGCGCAACTTCGTTGATTGGCTGAAGTTAGACATTAACACTGTTGGATGTTGACTCGAAGGTCTAGAAATCAAGCGTTCGCGCGTGAGACTGATAGGTTCTGTGTTCGTGTGTTGTATGTGGGATCATGGATGCGCACTGTTGAGGAGTTCCACAATAGGACGAAACGGGTTTTTCATGGTGGTCTAGCTTAAATTGACCCATGATCTTAGCAATTAAAATTTGAATAAGCCTAAAGTAAGTGTTGACGATGTATTCTATGATAAAAATGAACTATTTGTAATTAAACTAACCAGCTTATAAAATACAACATCACTAAGGTGAGTGAATGGGAATAAAATTACAATGTTCATTACTATTGAGTACACAGCATAAATAACATAGCTAATTCAGCCTAATGTTTCTTAAGTAGAAAACTTGACCAAACTTAACCAACACTTAAAAAGTATCAATCCAGAATAACACATATTGAAAGGTTGAAGAAACAATGTTACAAGTGAAAAAAAACAGAACAAAATACAATGAATTATGTCCATAAATGTAGAACTGGTTAGTTATAATATCCCTGGCAGAAAAATGATTACAAGTAACATGAACTACTTTTTATTAGGAAGTAGTATAAGATACAACACAAAAAAGTTCAGACAAAGGAGAAATGAAATTGTATGACATTTTAAAATAACCAAAATAACTATTCAACACTTACTGATTAATGATACTACTCTTTTTGATTTCCGCTTGAAATATACTAAAAAATAACCTAAGTTTATGAAATGATTCATTTCTAAGAGTTTAGATTTTTTTATTGTTAATACTAAAGATCAAATCGGATCTATTTCTTCTGGGATATGTATGTGTTGAGCAAATTGTCTCGACATTACCATTGATTCCAAAGTTTTCAAACAAATTTTGATCATATTTATCATTTGAAACCAAGAAGATCAATTTGTCCTACTTTACTTTAAAAAATTGCGATATAATGACTAGATCAAAGCCATCCATCTTGGATATACATATGCTAAAATAGACTGATCCATATAGAACCCTTATCATTTATAAAAAGGGAATATTCTAACCATTAGAAATCAATAATACAAATCTAATATCTGGATGAACTTAGTAACTCATTGTATGACGTTGAGCTTTTTAAACAAACAGTATTCGGTTCGAGTCCCCGTATGAACATTATCACTGGGATGCAAGTATATCCAGTACGAGACAACATACCGGATTCCACTGTTAGACACTATTCAACATTACATAATAATTAAATCATATTGTATCTTCTCATTTTTATTTAGGATTACAATTGATCAGACTGTTATTATTAACATATGTGCATAATGTGAATATTGTATTAAGTCACAAGGATTATAAGCAAAGATGAATAGTGGCGAGTAGTGGAATCCAGTTTGACGCGCGTTTCAACCTATTTGGGACTAGTCAGCTAGATGTATCTGTATCTCAGAATTGATGTTCACTCCAGATACCAAACCCAGTAGCTAAGTGGATAACGCAATCGAGTTGGCATAGCAACTATAGTTGATAGTTCAGGGAAAAATCTTAAAACTTCCTTAATTATTAATCTTATTTAATAAATTTGTCTTCTGCTACTATTTTGTTAGAAGTAAAATAAAACACATACATCTATAATAGATATGAAAAATCGATTTTTAATAACTTAAAACTAATTAAACCGATCACTAGTATTCATTTCACAATTGCACACAATGTCTAGTCACCTAGACTAATGACCGAATTGCAATTTGGTCGATAGCATTCGATTCACGCTAATAAGGACCTGACATAAATGATATTGATCACCACACAGTGATCAATCAATTGTGATTACATCTCAGTCGTACAAGAGGTCAATCGCGACCCGGATAGCCCAGTGGTAACGTCTCTGACTGTGAAGTTGGGTGACACGGGATTGAATCCATTGGGGAGCATTAGTTTCCTCAAGATTACAGGTGCGCCTTCGTGACTAATGTCAAATAGCACGAAACCTGTGTCTAAGGTTTCCTGTTGACTACCTCCAACCACCATTTTATCTCAACATAATGCACACAATGTCGAGCCGCCTAGACTAATGACCACGTTGCAACTCAATCGATAGCATTCGATTTACACTAAGAAGGACCTGACACATATGATATTAATCTCCACCTAGTGACTATACAATTATGAAGATATTGAATTGAATTTGTTGTTATTGAAGATGAACCTGTTAGATTGGTTTCCATGAATAAATACTTACTGGCGAGACTATTGTTAATGGACAACCTTTGAACGAATCTCGAGTGACCTTGAGAAATATTAGCCTATCAGCAAACAGCCAGTAAATATATACTATAAAACACCAAAGAATTAAAGTGGATACACTTCTTTTCCATGGTTCAAAAACGCTTCAAGGTCTGAAAGAGGTTCAGAAGTTCTAAAATCGTAATACATGCAGTAGAGGAAATCATCCATATGGTTCCATAATGGTCGGCCTCTGGAGCTATAATAAGGTCGCCAAAACTCTCTCAGCCTTGACCACATAGCTTCAATATTGTTTGTGTGCACTCCGGTTGTTGGGTACACCAAATGCCACTTATGGATAACTACACAATGCACATAACCAAGCCTATGTAGGAGTCTGTACGCTCTCCAGTCATCCGTATATATTGTAGTACATGGCTGTAGCCAGTGTTACCGGTGCTTTTATTATCCAGTTCGCAATAATTTGCCTTAGTTAGGAATTATATATACATAGGGTTTTCATCACGAACTGACATCACCTATAATGCCAAAACTCTATTTAACCAAATGAATGAAAGACTTTCTCGCCAAAACCCAAGTTCTGTTAACTTATACCTGATTGGTTCGTCCACAAATTATAGTCTCGCCGTTTTATTTGTTACAGACCATCAATTATCACATTTTTTACAAAATTCCTTGTGAACCGATCATACGTTAACATTAAGTACTGAAGTTACCGCTTTGACTTTGAAATCTCTCAAACGCTTCTGATTAGCTCATTCATAAATTATAGTCTCGCCGTTTCTCTTGCCTATTTGACAGTTAATCACATCAAAAATTGGTAATGATCGATTTATTGAACGGGGTATGAATACATTTAGTTTACCATTAATTAATAAATTAATTCAAACGGAATGTATCAACTTACAAGATAAATCATGTATGGCTAGTAACTGGGATATAATGGATACATATGAGAAAGAAATAAAAAAGGAAGATCAAGAAGAAGAAACAAAAAGAAAAGTGTTAACAGGTAATAATAACTTTGTAGAATTTTCTTCTTTTTCTCTTGTTCACTGAAGTCTGTATCACTTTCCCAGTCAATATGTCGGGTCTGCTGCGCGTTGACCTTTATAGCTCAGTCAATCTTCCAGGCTATTAAAATCCGACGTACACCCAGCACCCGGCACGTTAAATACCTGCTCTCCAGCGATCTACCGAGTCATCTACATTCGAGGTCCGCCCGGCAGCCTCAAGCCCCAGCGCTCTTCTCTGTCAACAATACTCGCTTCAGCCAACGCCGCTAGTCAGAACACCCTACTTGACGTCATCTCCCCGCACCAAACCACTCCAACTAGCACCTCAGCCCTAGGTCGTCAACGGGTTCCGCAGAACAGCACCCTTCTACCCTCCTGGTTGGCAGCGACACCAAATGTAGTGAACGAGAATATCAGTAAAGACAATCAACTATATGTGAATACAAAACTACAGAATATCTTACCAAAATCTTAAAACCATATAGTTATTACTTCATTTGTAAAATGTCAACCAATTGTCTCAGACTTGATTGTTCCCTTGTTTCGACACCAATCATTCTCTGTTCTCATTCTCTCCTTTTTGATCTTCTTGATAAACTCAGGGTCAATGGATTATAGTTTTAGAATATGAACCAAAAGATTATGTCTAACAAGAAACTTTTTAATTCATTCATTTGGTGGAGATTTTATGCAACAACACAATCACTCTACTCCATTTTATTCAAAACAACATGCAAACAAAGGATAAATCTAATATCATCCACAAAATAACTTGTATTGGGTAAAGTAAACGTGCTTTTCACTCACTCATACAGAAATATAAGCAATCACTAGAACGATATGATATGTTATCAGTGATATTAATATATGCTGACTATTATGGACATAAGTGACACTAGGAAGATGTTAAAAGTTGCGGATTGAAGAGACTTTAAAAATGTTAGAGAATTTCTCAAAGGGAAGCCTTTAGACTAGTCAGTAATCAATAGCCATATTGAATAGACATACCTAATCTATTCCAAAAGGGTTAGTCAACAATCTGGCTAAAAGTGAACAAATCGAAACGGTCAGTTGGAATATAAGGATAGTTAAAGACATTGAAGCCTATGAAGATAATCAGTCACAATTAAGGCGATTGTAATAAACTGACATAGTACTGGTATAATGAACGATAACAAAAGTGGGGGTAATGAAATGTATTTGAACACGAATTTACATAATAACGTGGTAAAATCTGAGAACCATACAGTAAATACTTCATTTGCAAAAGACCAGTCAATCGTTTCAAACTTGACTGTTTCCCTCGTAAAATGTTAATCAATTATCTCAGACTTCATTGTTCCTGCATTTTCATATTAATTATTTTCTGTTCCCGTTCTTTCCTTCTTGATCTTCTGTTGCCAAACATTCCAATCTTGACTATCGTTACATACTACTCATGTGGATGTTAATGACACTGACTACACTAGTAGATAAGATACACAACATATTACCCAAAGATTACAGATATCAGAAGGGGTTTTGTGGAGATTGTAGTAATTTAGATAGTTAAGATCATGAGTCAATTGAAGCTAGACCACCATGAAAAACCTAAAAGCAGTGGACGGCCGTTTTAGTCCTATTGTGGGACTCCTCAGCACTGCGCAACCAATGGTGTATGTGCCTCTCAATTTCGTGGATTAGTTAAAGTTAGACATTAACACCTTAGGATGCCGGCCAGCTCAGTGGCCTAGTGATTCGAATCCCACGAGGATCATGGATGCTCGCTGCTGAGGAGTCCCTTAATAGGACGAAACGGCCGTCTAGTGCTTCTATGTTTATCATGATGGTCTGACTTATGATCTTAACTATTGAGATTACAGATATATATAGTGAGCAAGCACTTGGCAACACACATTCAAGGTAAGAATTAAAACAAAATGAATTGAAATATGATTATGTATCAATGATAAAGAATAAACCAGTTTGTTTTGTTTTAATGGTTCAAAAATCTTTTTTATTTTTATCTTTCATATAATAATAAAGATAGAAGGAAAGTCGGAATCGATTTAAACAAGAACAAACTTGACACTTCAATAAAATCTATATTGAATGGAAAGAATATTCTATTACAATCAGATGACGGTGGACCATTAGAAAGTACTGGTTCATTAATTGATAGTTTAATTAATGGGAAAACTAAAACAAGTCAAGGATATGGATCAACTCAATATGCAACAAGTAAGTGGAAGTTTTAGGGTGGGGGTATTATGTGTAAAATAAAAAAAGAATACTATACTGACAAAGTCAAATGGAATTCAAAGTAGTGTTGAGATGAACCAATCTAAAAGACCGATTTAGAATGAAACTTTTGTTGTGAAAATTCTCATTTTAACATTTGGTAAATAAAGAAGGAATGAATCGAGTGAAGAAATTTCTCTTCAATTAGTTTTTCATCTTTGTCACCAGTGAGTTACTGATAGGTGATGGGTTCGAATCCTGCGAGGCGAGATCATGGATGAGCACTACTGAGGAGTCCCACAATAGGACAAAACAGTTGTCTAATGCTTCCAGGTTTTCCATGATGGTCTAACTTCAATTGACTCATGATCTAAACTATTGAAATTACTACAATCTCCACAAAATCCCTTCTGAACTTACTAGTGTTAATTATCGATAACTTACGCTGTAAATAATAGTTATGCAATCAGGATAAGCTCTAATTCTTAGCATTATATCTTTTAAAATCAGACTTCTAACCTTAAAATCTCGCGATCCTAGCTCCTAACTTCTAACGTTAACTCCTAAAGTCTACTTGCTTACCTTAAAATTTCTTTTCCAAACATATTAACCTTCAAAGCTCGTTTCACAATAAGGCTAATATACAGTCCGTTTAGAAACATGAAATTTAATTAAGATCATGTGTGTTTGCTATGTTTGAAGTGATTACTAGTTCACTTAGTCTGCGAACGGAACAAAGACTCTGTGGCCATATACCAATAAGTTAGCTATTCTTATGCGTCCAAGCCCCGCTAACCAGAGAGAGAAGTCCAAGTTCGAAATAGGGAAATATACTCCGCAAGCAGCCAGAAGCACGAGCAATAACAACAAGCACAAATCAATCGTATATATACAGCATAAAATTGTTCTTAGGAAGCGTTACAAAATAGCATACTGAAAGATACGGCGAACTAATAGCGTTTAAGACTCTCCCAAGTGGGAAATGCCATATGAAGATGAAAATGAGCGCTTTTGGCGCGAACGCATGGAATTCAAATTTTTAAAACAAAATTACAAAAACAAGGTATTTACCAAGTGCGTTCTGGGGATCTTACATCCCCAACATTTGACCGATAAGCTAATCACATGACAAGCTGTGAGCCATATGTGGAGAAATTCGAACACTTCATTTCTACCTGAAGTTTGTGCTGGTGACGAATTCGTTCAGAAGAACGATAAAAGCTCCACAACTAAACCATCCAGCTTAGAGTACAAAACTCCATCAAAATCATCCACATGAGCAACAAATCTTTTTCTCCCTCTCATAACAAGTTCCTTTCTCTGGGCACGATAACAAGTTGGACCGATGCACATATGTGCCCGGTCCTACGTTGTAGCTGACTGACTGACTGACTGACAAACTAATCAGGGTTTTACACAGCATCATACATACATATGATTGCTGGAGAAGTTTGAAAGGCGTTATCCATCTTACTAATCACCTTAGCTAAATATTTTATTTCTAGGGTATTTGACGTATTATCCTTAACCATTAAAATCAGTGATCTCCTAACTTATTATTGTTAATTTATAGATAATACAATGAATACTAATTCTGAATCAGATCTTACGTTTATTCATGACAGCTCTATAACTCAACTCAATCAATTAACCAATGAATTAGGATTACTTGAGGTCAGTACTAAAAGTGTTTAGTTTCCAACTTTTTTTTTCATAATCATGGATAATCTAATTTAAATGCACAAGCAAGTGGCTATAAGGAATCAGTAGCTAAGTGGATAACACGATGGCGTTCGAAGCGAACGGTATTGGGTTTGAGTCCCTACCCGAGTGAATACCAACCCTGAGATGCAAGCACATCCAGCTGACGAGTCTCGAATAGGATAAAATTTGCCTTCTATATTACACTACTAGCCACTATCCACTTTTGCTTATAAAGCTTATGACCTAAGACAATACATATAGGATGGACATATGCCAACAATTGACTGATCAATTGCAGTCCTAACACAACAATGGAAGGATACAAGTAAACAATACCAAGTGAATCTAATTTGAATGTATTTACTCCCATCAGTTACTAAACGTTGGGACGAGCAGTGAAACAAGTTTGGTGGACTGGCGTTTTATTGTTGTTGATTCCCATTATCATTGTATATCCGAGCTCTATACAAAGATTTAATCTCAGTATAAAATACTAAAATATATCAAATTAATATAGACTTATGTAATTATCTCTTGTCTTTGTTTATATTCACAAAGATAGGTGATATAATCTGATTATCAAAATTGAAGATGAGTTCGAACCATCAACTTGAATGCTTCGTTTGTCAAATCATTTATAAACTTCACTTAATCTAATAGAATTGGACAACTGTCTTCTTATTCATGATGGGATAAAGCTAAACTCAGTCTTTGATTTACTTTGTGACATTGGCTTTCATAAAAAAGATTCATTCTTCATAGAAAACTTGAAGCTTTGTGCTAACATTCAAGAAGTATCAGATGTATTGTATTACTTTAACACTCCATAGTGTAATGTGAGAATATATTCATGAGTTCTATCTTGTGATATCTTTCAGTTTATTCCTTTGTAGTAACTAGGGGCGGCCAAACCAAAACGTGGCATCATTGCTTGAAGTCACTAACTTCTGGTCTGAGCCATGTTGGTAGATGTAGACCACTTGGTTGGAGTCCGCGTGACTATCGTAACCAATGGTTGGAGATTCTTGGTGACATGGCTCACAATCGATCGGTCACAATGTCGTCGGTGTATACACTCTCTGTCTTCCCTTAAACTAAGAGATTAAACTCGCTTCATATCTTTCTTTCTACCAACTAAATCTTTCTTCCTGTACTATATCCTTATTTGCAGTCTTTCTTCTTATATATTACCACCATCGTCTTAACTACTCATATGAATCCGCTGTTCATCTTGCATATATATGCCTCGTCCTACGTTGTAGCTGATTGACTGATATCAAGTCTTTAATGTTAATTGAATTCAATGGAGCAACTTGATATCACTTAGTCGATTAGTTATACTCAACATAGAGCCTGAGATGAATGTGTGATAGTTCAAGTTACCAAATAACAGTAGCATGGTGAGAATGCATTAATAAGATGAATAGCAAACGAATCGAATTAATGAAAAAAAACTGAACACTAGAGAATATGGTTGAAGTAGATGGAATAAAGAGATATGTATGCAGAGATACTGGAAATTAAGATCTAGAGGGTGAATACAACTGTGCCATTATGATGGATTCTGATCCATGTTAAATAACATTTCCGACCATTGATCACGATTATTGTACAAGCCTTAACCTGATAATATACACCTATCAAAATGGCTTAAATCAATAATCAACGGTTTCATGGATTGGTGACGCATTTTATCCAGCCTGTTCCCAGCTTTCTGCTTACCAACTCTTATGTTAATAGTGTTCACTGACAAAAATCAGTAAGTCATAAAGAATGTCAACCAATCGTCCCAGGCTTCATTGTTCTTTCGTTTCCACACCAATCGTTATCTGTTCTCATTCTCTTCTCTTCGAACTTCTTAACCATCTGTCGTCAGTCATTTTATTTTTGATCGATAATACTTACTTGCTTACGCCTGTTACCCCCAATAGGACATAGGCCGCTGACCAGCATTCTCCAACCCACTATGTCCTGGGTCTTCTTTTCTAGTTCATCCAACTCTTATTCGTTCTCATATTTGTCTCCATTTCACAAAGTAATGTGTTCTTTCGTCTTCCTTTTCTCCTTTATTTGACGCTGATGATTCCATGTGAGGGCTTGTCTTGTGACTCAGTTCGGTGCTTTCCTCAATGTGTGTCCTATCCATTTCCAGCTATTCTTCCCGATTTATTCCTTCACTGGAATCTGGTTTGTTCTCTCCCATAGTGGGTTGTTGCTGATAGTGTCTGGCCAACGGATCCGAGGTATTTTGATTAGACAACAGTTAATAAACTCTTGTATCTTCTGGATGATGGCTTTGTGATTCTCCAGGTTTCCACCCATACAGTAGAATTGTTTTGACATTTGTATTTGAAACTCTGACTTTGGTATTGGTTGCCAATTGTGTTGAGTTCCAGATGTTCTTCAGTTGTAAATATGCTTCTCTTGGTTTGCCGATTCACTCCTTCACATCTGCATCAGATCCACCATGTTCATCAATCATGCTGCTTAAATATGTAAAGGTGATTGATAATACATACTACTTATGTGTCGACATCAGTAACACACATCATAACTCGTTTAATTATGTTCTAGAGTGAGGTATTTTCGAGACCATCACTTTAATATTATAATTAATCTGTACTGACAATTGTTAAACAGCATGTATTCTAGTTCACGCATTACATTCTACTAACCTACTTCAATTATCAAACAGATATTCATTAAATCTCGTGAAATGGAGAATAATTCGAACGATCATCGTCTTTGTAACAATACAGAAAGTGAAAACATCCAACATACATTTACGAAAAGATAGTGAAAAAAAGTATTGGAAATTCCAAAAAGCACGAAACAGAATGAATAATATGCTGAAAACGATACTGTGTAGCTGAGCGTGAACGAGTCCGTAAAATAAGCAAGCGAATCGGCCTAAATGTCCCCAAAATGCTCTGGTACGACTGAGGGTGGGGAGAGTCATCTCTCTCTCTCTCCAAATGCTCTCACATGACCACACATTTACAGACACCGTCAGAGAAGTCCTACACACTGTCTCCTTGCAGCATTACTATGGTTTACGAAACTGCATGGACAAAAAGCAAGTGTCCGGCGCTTTAACCGGGTTGGTGGATACGAAGAGTCCACCTACAGAAGTTGGAAAACCCTGATTTCAAAGCATTGATCCACATGGTCTCCAGTATCCTGAAGGAACAAATGACGTATGAACCAACTATTGGTCACTGGCTACCATGTGACTGCATCTCCTTACGTTGCTCCACTGCCTTGTGGATTAGACGTTTAGGTGGAAGTCTCTAGGTGTGGCCCGCTAAGCAAACCACCTGCTACCGTTTGGGCATCCGGGCAGTATCACAACCTTCACACATATCGAATGATTTATGCAATGCATATCTATTTGATGCTTCCGTAAACCAATGTTTATTGCTTTAAATAAATGAAACTCAGAGTTGTCATTTTTTCACATTTCACTATTGAAATTTACTTTGCCGATATTTTCAGACTCCAAAAATGAAAAATGATTTGAATAATATGGAACGTGCATTAAATATCAATATATATCGTGATAAATTATTCAAATATCAAAGTTTACTTTTAAAGGAATGTAAGTTTATATTGAACATTTAACTGTTTACCATTTCAAATAGCGTAATAAGAACAATATTATTACTAAATGGATTTGAAATTGTTTAGTTAAATCTTGCTATTAATGTTTAGGCCTGTAGTTGATCATTCTCTTTTTGGTATATGTGCATCTTGTGCATATTGCCTCGATATTTCCTTAAGTCACAAACCTTATAAGGAAAGACGGATGATGGGTTGCCGTGGAATCTAAGATGCACGTTTCGTCCTATTTGAGACTCGTCAGTTAGATGTACCTTTGCACAAGCAATTGGTTATCAAGACTCAGTAGCTAAGTGGATTATGCAATAAAATTTGAACCAAACAGTATTGAGTTCGAGTCACAGAGTCAACATCAACTGTGGAATGCAGGTACATTCAGCTGACGAGTCCCAAATAATACGAAACACATGTCCTGAATTCCATTGCTAACCACTATCCATCTTTGCTTATAATATTATTACTAGTTTAAGGTAAAAGTGGGCGAAAGTTACGTAAACACAGTATATCGGGCCTCATATACAAAATATTATTATGCTTTTGTGAATATACCTATACAAATCGATTAATAAATGAAACAAACATTTACAGACACTATCACCAGCGTAAAACAATGTTATTTTATCAAGGAGATGAGTTCAACTATTTATAGCTTTTATTAATCCATATTTAGACATTAACATCGTTGGATGCCGGTTCACTGGTCTGGGAGTTAATCATTAACGTGCGAGACCGAAGGTCCTAGGTTCGAATCCCACCTGCCGGATCGTGGATACACATTGATGAGAATTCCCATACTACAATGAAACGGCCTTCCGGTACTTCCAGGTCTTCCAGGTTGGCATAGCTTAAATCGACTCATGAATTCAACCATTAAATTACTACAATTTCCACAAATCTTCATTCAAAACAGAATTTAATCTAGCTGAATGTAAACCCCTATACAGCTTATTTAATGAAAGATTTTCTAAGAATTAATGATAAAGTATCATTATTTTTCATGGAATAATTTCAAGTTTCGCAACTATCTATTTTTATGCTTATTTCTTAATGACCTTGTAAGACCTCATGAAATCGTTCTCTTCAATTTTCTCAACCTTCTTCCATTGGGTATTCTATTTTCGATTGATAATACATACTACTTATATCAGACGATATCAGTAGCACGCCTGTTACTCCTAATGGAGCATACGCCGCCGACCAGCATTCTCCGACCCACTCTGTCCTGGGCCTTCTTTTCTAGTTCCATCCAATTCTTGTTCATTTTTCTCATATCTATCTCCATTTCCCGGTGTAATGTGTCCTTTGGTCTTCCTTTTCTCCTTTATTTGACGCTGAGGATTCCATGTGAGGGCTTGTCTTGTGACGCAGTTGAGTGTGTCATATCCACTTCCAGCTATTCTTCCTGATTTCTTCCTTCACTAAGATCTGATTTGTTCTCTTCCACAATAGGTTGTTGCTGATAGTGTCGAGCCAACGGATCCGAAGTATTTTGCGTAGACAACAGTTAATAAACACTTGTATCTTTTGGATGATGGTTTTCGTAGTTTTCCAGGTTTCCGCTCCATATAGTAGAACTGTCTTTACATTTGTTTTGAAGATTCTGACATTGGTATTGGTTGCCAATTGTTTTGAGTTCCAGTAGCATATATCACACCTAGATAGTAGATATGTTTCAGAGTCTAATACACGGTTGAATATAAATAAGTAATTTGTTAAAAATATATACATATTTTAGGTCAATCCAATATGGATTCATGCAATACAATGAAACTAAGCCCTGAAATTAGTCAAACATTAACAAATGATACATCAAATAATGTTCATTTAACTGGACATGAATCCTCTATGTCAAAAGTGTCCATGTCTACATTACCAATAAGATCATCAATCGAAACAACAATAAGAAATATGGGAAGTGTAAATTCAACTATTTCTACATTAAATGATAATAGTACTACAATAAGATCAAGTGAATCATTTAAAACTAAACATACTATCAGTCCACAAATACCACATGTTATTCCATTATGGCGTTTTCAATGTGCGATGACTAAGGTAATTAATGATAATTTATTGTTTATCTACGATGAATCTAAATATGTTTGTTATATCCCAGTGAAGATTGAGATGGTGGAGAAGATTTGTAGCTCAAGTGGATGATTTTGATGTTTGATTGTATTGATTTTGTTCTGATATGCATATCAGAAACCGCAACAAGACTGCTAAAAACCTTCGGGATAGGTGTGGCACACAAACTAATAAAATCACTACAACCCAGTGAAGATTAAATGACGAGTAACCTCTGAGACTTATTGATGAATTAATATTATATATATATATATATATATATATATATATATATATATGTATATATATATATTCCTATTGTATAACTTTTCAGTAACTAGATTGAGTATATCCATATTCCTCTTATTATAAGCTTCATTTTGATCTATAGATTATTATTGTACGATTTACTGTTCTTAAATTATACTCAGTTTATTGATTACCATCTCCTACGTTAACAGCCACGTTTTGGTTCGATCATGTATAAATGTTACCTTCTATTTTATGATGTGATGTAGTCTGTTTGGCTGGTATATAAACACAGTATGTCTGAAATAAATGATTCTCATAATGGAGGCTGTTATTAGCATTCTGGACTCAGCTGGATGGGCTAGGCGAGTAACGGACCAATAGGATGTTAGGCTGATCAGATCGGTCGGACGTCATTGTTGTGGCACAGTACTAAGTTTGCCTAACTCACATTGTGATTGACAAATTAATCACGTGATAACTAGTCGAAAATAAAATCACAAAAATGTTATCCTCTGTAGTTGGATTCATAGAATTTTACAACACCTAACTCATAAATAAACAATATACGTAGAGTGTAAAGATTGGAACTATATATGAAAGTTCCTTTTCAAAATGTCAGTATCATTACTGATAAACAATAAGTGTATAAACATAGTCAAACTAATTTAAGTAACGATGTATAGTATGTGATGATGTTGGACGAACCAATCAGGTATAAAATAACAGGGTTTCGGATTTTAACTTGAAATTCACTCATCCATTTGGCTAAATAAGGTTTTGACATTGTAGCTGATGTATGTTGGTGATTGAAACCTTAAGTGTAATTCCTAACCTTAACCATAAAATGTAAAACTTAATTCTAATCCTCTACAATGTTTCATAATCCTCATTTGGTCCTAGTTATTAGGTGGATACTTTCAAGGTCAGTTTAGAGTCTCTCAAATGTTGTTCATAAATTATAGTCTCACCATGATGTATCAGTAATCATTCATAATTGTTCAATCATAACCCAAATTTCATTGAATTCACTTTTACCATATGAGAATGAAACATCATATGATTTTTCCTATGTTACACGTATATCCATTTGTTATGGTTTGAATTTTCAGAAAGAAGCTAATTGCCTGTTAAACCCATTTCAGAATATGTGTATGTTATCTGCTTTGACGATGACGACGATGTTGTTGTTGTTATCGATAGGCTTATCACTTTTAGTGACCCTAAATCTGACTTCAATTGGATCGTATGGTGATCATCAGTGAATTATACATTCCAGCTATCCTTGTACAATTCATCAATATAACTCACGTTTATGAATGAAAGAATTAAATAAGTCAAATACGAGAATGAACTTTAAATACGTATATTCTATACAATCTTTGATCTGAACAGACAATCAGGGAAATGATGCGAAAGAAGCGAAGAAAAGAGTGCTAGATGAAACGAATCGGAGAAGGCATGTGAACTAATTCGAGTTAGTCAAGCGTGACTCAATGTTTATAGTTAGATCGAAAATAAGCTACAGACATGTTATGAATGTGGTAAGCAATACACATACACACACACACGATCATATAAAAACAGTTAGGGTTAGTAAACAAATTGTGATAAGGTCAAAATGTAACTCGAGAAGAAGGAATAAATTGGTCTGTCCAGACGCTAGAATAACCTATGTGGACTTGATATAGTGCCAGACTCTACCAGTTTCTTTAAGGTTCGAGACAATTTTGAAAAATTTCACACTGTTTAACATTATGGTCAATAGTGAATGTTTATTACAAAAGAAACTCAGTTGACAGTAGTAGTGAGACTATAATTTATGGACGACCATCAAGCGACGCTGAAGCGACCTTGAGAGTATCCACCTAATAACCAGGACCAAATGAAGGTTATAAACCAGCGTGAGGAATTAGAATTATGATTTACACTTAAAGGTTAAGTTTAGGAATTACATTTAAGGCTTTCATCACCAACAGACATCAGCTATAATGTCGAAACCTTATTTAGCCGAATGGATGTGTGGATTTCGCGCCAAAATCCGAAACCTGTTATCTTACACCTGATTGGTTCGTTTATAAATTATTGTCCCGCCAAAATACTTCTTTTTGTCAGTACACATCATCTACATACATTTTAACAAATTAAATCTCAAATAAGTCATTCATCACAAAACTTTCTAAACCTAAATATTTAGTCATATTTTGACAAAATCTAATATCCATAATAGAAACTCTACTGTATGGAGCTGAGAATTGGAGAACTACCACAACCCTCATCAAAAAGTATCAGCATTTATAAACAATTGTCTACCGAAGACATTGAATGTTTGTTGACCGGATACCATCAATAACAATCTACAGTGGGAGAGAAAAAAAAATCAACTTCCAACTGAAGAGGAGATTAGGAAAAAACATTGGAAGTGGATAGAACACACAATACGGAAATCATCAAACTGTATCACGAGACAAGCGGTGACTTAGGATTCTGAGAAAAAACGAAAAAGAGTAAGGCCAAAGAACATACTTCATCGGTGATTAGAGACAGATATGAAAAGGATGAATAACAACTGGAAAGAATTATCCAGGTTAGAGTTAGATGAAGAATACTGATGAGAGTGTCCTATGCTCCTTCACGAGTGTTAACAAACTTAAGTAATTATAAAATTTAATTATTTTCTTTAAATGAAAGTAATTCCTAGATAAATGATCACTAATGATATTCTTTTTCTTCAAAATAAACAAATAAACAGGGTCATAATATATCAGATATGGCATGGAATAAACAAAATCCAAATATATTAGCTGTTGGTTATGGACAATTCGATTATGATAATCAACAGAAAGGTTTAGTATGTTGTTGGTCATTAAAACTTATTGAATATCCTGAACGTTATTATAAAACACCAAGTAGTGTAACTGCTATTGGTTGGTCAAAAATTCATGCTAATTTATTAGCGGTAAGTTATAATTATCTTCTTGTATTATATCCTTTCTTTTTATACTATTACTATCATTGAATTAACTACTTCTATGAAGTCAGTGGTAATGTTGTTATACTAATGAGAGATGATAGCTTGAACCGATACATATATGAGCCTGGTCCTATCTATGTCGTAGCTGATTGACTGAATCTGTCCTAGAAATGACTACGTAAAATATCATATAGTATGAAATTAGTAATATAGATCTTAACTTATTATAACTTACTATGAATAGAATATAACTACATTCCACATAGTTGATAATACATTTTTGAAGAAGAAGAAGAAGGACAAGAACAAGAACAAGAAGAACAAAAAAAGAAGAATCATTATACTTTTCTCATTTAACATGTCTAAATAGTAATGCATGAGGTTAGCGACCCTATCTCGTAAAAAACTAACTCGCTAAAAAAACTCTAACCAGAAAAAATTATTCAAACCATTTAAACTCTGCCCTGGGAGTCAGGAGGTCTTCGTTTAGAAGAATTGTGACGCCTCATGATGAAAGCCCAGTTCCTTCGGAGGTCACGAGGCCGATGCCCCTTCTGACAACCAGAGCAACCATTTATTTAGGTACATGGAATGCTCGTACAATGTGGGAGACTGAGAGAGTCTTCCAAATCGCTTGCTTCAGAAATAGTAATGCAAATCACGTGTCAAATGAGTGTCATAATGCAGTGAACAAGAACACACAAGTGAGGACAATCGAATGTATTTGAAACAACCATAACAGAACATCTTAGTCAAATCTGAGAATCATACAGTAAATTCTTTATTTGAAAAATCTCAATCAATCGTCTCGGAATTCATTGTTATTTCGTTTGTAGATCAATCATTCTTTGTTCTCGTTCTCTTTCGTTCGATCTTCTTAACTTTCTGCCTCTAGGTATTTCACATTCGATTAATGACATATACTACTTATATCGGTCGATATCAGTATTTATTTAAACATATAAACATAGGTATAAGGAGGCACAAAATAGATATGCGCCACATAAATCATTCGATTTGTGTGTTGGCTGTAATACTATCCGCATGTCTGAACAGAAGCAGATGGTGTCTTAAGGGCCGACACTCTGAGCCTTTCACTTAAAAGTTTAATCCACAACTCAGTGGAGCTACGTCAGGAGATGCAATCTCATGGTAGCCGGTGACCAATAATTGGTTCATAGGCCATTTGTTCATCCAGGATCCTTTAGCCCATGTGCACCATTGGTTCGGAATCAGGTTTTTCCAACTCCCTTAAATGGATCCTTCATATCCACTAACCCGCATAAAGCGCCGTACATTCGCTTTTCATCCTCTCGACTTCTTATGCCGCGAGAAGGCAGTGAGTAGGACTTCCCTGACAGTGGTCGTCTACACGTGACCATGTGAAAGCATTTGGAGAGGGAGAGCGGACTTTTCCCACTCTCGGCCATACCAGGGCGCATATCTGTTTGATGCCTTCTTTTACCTACGTTTATGTCTTTAAATAAATATATCGATAACAGTAGCGCACATCACAATAGTAATATTCAAATAGACTTTGGTATACAGAATGTTTAGTTTCCTTTACATATGTAGTCTTTATTGGGTGGTCGTTATTTATGTAAGTCCAAGCATAGGAATCCCCATTAAAAATGGTGCATATTATAATAAAGATGAACATTGAGAGTCTTTGTCTCTACGATCAATCGAAAATGTAGCTTTGTAAATGTTTAATGAAATAGTTTAATTTCAACAAATACTGTGATATTTTGAAATTACTAACAATGTTTCTATTGATTGAAATCGATTGATGTTAGACCATCGTTGAAAACCTGAAAGCACTAGACAGCCGTTTCGTCCTAGTATGGGACTCTTTAGCATTGCGCACTTAGGAATCCCACCCAGGCGATTCGAACCCACGGCCTTCAGGCTCACTTAATCTCTAGACCATTGAACTAGCATCAAATAGTGTTAATCCGCTTAATCATTCATATTCCTATCTGATTTTAATCATATTCATTATTTTAAACAATATAGGTTGGAATGTTTAATGGTGTAGTTTTCATATATGATGTAAGGAAAAATGATCCTCTCCCGGTCATTGATACCACGTGAGTATTTGTTTGTTCTTATCCATGTTATGTTCTATGGTCAGATTTGTTTTTTAACACAAATTTCTTGATGCTTGACCAGGCTACTATAAAAAGTAGAAAAAAAACGATGACTGAGAGAAATAATATATTATAAGGATGGTATTGTAGTGTGTGCTACTGATGTCAACTGATATAAGTAGTGTGTATGATCAATCGAAAGTGAAATATCCGGTGACAGATGATTGAGAAAATCGGGGAAAAGAGAATGACAACAGAGAGTGATTAGTATGGAAATGAAAGAACAACAAAGTGTGAGACAATTGATTGATATTTTGCCAATGTTGTATTTACTGTCTGTTTCTCAGATTTTACTCAAATGTTCTGTAATTTTGTGTTCTAATATGTTTGGTTGCCATCCTTGTATTCTCGTTCACAACAGAATCTCTTTCAGGTTAATATTTGTCAGGATTAATTTAGTTAAAAACATACCTTGATCAAATGAATAGTTCACTTATTCATAATAATAAAGTGCTTACATTTGCATCCCTTATTTGCCGTTCGATCTTTTGATAGCTTTTAATCTCTCTGACTTTGAAACAGAATACAATCAATCTAGTTTATACTTATTTACCACCTCTCACTTCTTGAATAGTCTTCCTCTTCACATTTGGCTTTGAGAACGTGTTCAGTCACCGGAGATTCTTGAAACTTCTAGAACATTCATGAGACATTTTCTTCTTTGAGAGTGAACATTTTGAAAAGCACTAGAACAATGGCATAAATTTCACTGTGCTAGCATTAATGAATCCAGCTATTCAAAACTGTTTCTACTATAAGTAATGCAAGGGACTGTCAAGCAGGAATTTGTTTAATTAATATAGGGTACATAAGTTTTTTTTAAGTTTGAGACTTTTATGTATCAATTCAATCTGACCTTACTGATACTCTATGTGTTGCTAATTTTAGCACCAATTTCAGTTATTCCAGAAATCTACAGTCATCTAAGATCATAAACACATAGAAACTGGAATGATAAAGTTTTTATGCATAAAAGAACCTTTTTAACTATTTAGAAGTTACTAAGTTTGAGGGGATTTTTTGATCATGAATCGTTCAATGTTAGATCACCATTGAAAACCTGGAAGAACTGCACTGTTGTTTCATCCTAATGCGGGACGACTTGGTAGTGTGCATCCACGACCCCGCACTCGGGATTCAGACCCAGGACCTTCGTTTTCGCTCGCAAACGCTTAACCTCAACCAATATACGAGCTTGTGAGACCATCTTCGATTGTACTGAGCATTATTCTCTCCACTAGACAAACCGACTTAATTTTTGTTGGACACTATCCTAAATGATTGGATTTAACTTAACGACTTTATTATAAAATGATTAGTCAGATAATGAAAATTAATTTCTGTGGGTATATGATGTGTAATTAGTATGAAGTGGTTATCCATTAATTAAGTGGATTTTATTTATATACATACATAACATAAATCATTGTTCTATTCCAAAGTACTTTATTCTTTCTTATAGGCATGCTTCAGGAAGACATTTAGGACCTGTACGTAAATTACAATGGATTTTTAAAGAATCAGGTTTAGCGGAAAATCTACAAGAAGTTTTGGTAACAGTATCTAATGATGGTCGAGTAACTCAATGGTTTATACGTAAAGGTTTTGAAAGTGCAGGTACATTGTTATTTTTTTGTTTTTGATATAGATATACTCCCATTTCATCCCAGGTTTAAATCGCTACACCAGTACTCCTTCGTGACCCAACATAGTAGTTGGATTGTAATTGTGAATAAACTAATGTTAAGAATATGAAGTGATAGATACAAACTCAGTAGTTTAAATTAACTAAGCTTTCTACGATATTTGAGGTCGTTATCTGTAATCACCTGCATAGTTGCGCGTGTACAATGTCGAAGTAGAATGAAATAGATATCTATATATTGTTCGGTCAATCATGAACATGAATAACTTTTAAACATAAATGTGAGGTCGTTTTCAACATGGAATCACACAGAAACAAGAAAATCTTATTGATTTTTTCATCCTCTTCCGAAAACCTATGATGCATTCTGGGGTGGAAATCAATGCCTCAAGATCATGCGGGGAGCTTGTTAGCTTTAAGCCACTACTCTGGCATCAAATGCGTCCTATTTTCAATGACAGTCAATTTGCGATATGCAGCAACGATTAACTGATAACGCCATCAGGAAATTTGACTTCATACATGGTTGAATAACAAAAGCCATGACATCTAACTTTGGCTTCATGAATTTTTATTAAAGCTATTAATTAACAGGTACATGACTGGTCCGTTACCGAGGTGTATCATAGATTCATTGACTTCAAGAGGGTGATTTTTTAGTTTTAATTCTAACTACTTATAAAACACAAGTAGTGTGAAAACAGTGAGTAATCTTCAGGATTCGGTTCGTTCAAAACAAAAATCTCCCTTAAAGTAACAACGATACAAAAAATCTTTATATCAACTAATACAATATGCAAATAGAATATTTACCGTTCCGACCAATCAGATCATTGCTATTAGATCCCATCTCAGAAAGCGAAATAGATTTTTTTTTCCTACGATATTTGTATAGATTACCAACATCCATTTAAATGCGTTTTTATCTATTAGATCTGATGGTTCTTAAACAAACATATTCAAATGTTCTAACAACGATGAATACATCTCAAAGAAACGAAGCTTTAATATCACGAACAGCTTTTGCAACGAGTATGGCTTTTAATAAACGTGAACTAAATATGTAAGTTCAGTAGTGTATGTGAATATTGAGTTAGTATCAGAAGGAGTTTTGTGTAGATTGTAGTAATTTCTATAGTTGAGATCATGAGTCAGTTCAAGCTAGATCACCATGAAAAACTTAAAAGCACTGGACGGCCGTTTCTTCTTCGAGACTGTTAGATCCTGGGTTCGATTCCCACGAGACGGGATCGTGGATGCGCATTGCTTAGGAGTCCCACAATAGGACGAAACAGCCGTCTAGTGCTTCTAGGTTTTCTATGGTGGTCTAGCTTCAAATGATTCATAATCTCAACTATTGAAATATTGAGTTACTTATAGGAAAGAGAGAGGCTGCACAGTTCCTACTGAGTCAAATGTTCATGTGATTTTTGTTTAAAAATGATGTCACATTTTTTATTCAACATCCAAAATATAGAACGTATCACGTTACTAACCTTCGTTTTATCCTTATTGAAATATGTCAACAAACAATATTTGTCAAACAGTCAATGTAAAAATCAATTAAACTTCACTCTATTATATAAGCCGGTGACTATCTGAACTCAATAGCTAAGTAGATAACTTGATGGCGTTTTCAAGAGCATAATAATGGCTTGGAGTCCCGGAGAGAACATCAAGTTTGGGATTTAAATACATTCAGCTGACCGGCCCTAAATAGGACGAAACAAGCATCCTCGACTCTACTGTAAACCACGATTCATCTTTAATTAGAATGCTTGTGTTTTAACGCAATATTAAGATTATCCAAACATCATGCACATATGCCAACAACATACTGATCAATTGTAGTTCTAAACATTGATCGGAGGATTTAAACAACTAATATAGAAATGAATTGGAAACTTCATAACATTGCACAAGTTAGTGACCATCTGTGCTCAGCGAACAGTAATAGGTTCTAGTTCCGCAGTGAACATCAATTGTGGGATTTAGGTACATCCAGCTGTCCAGTCCCAAATTAGTTTAACAAATAAACAAACTATTCCAATTTATTCGATAATGTAAACTTGTTCTATATACGAAAAGACTTTATCAAGCTTTTTTTTTCATTATTAAAGTTACGTTGTTGGCACTGAAAATGGACCTATTTATAAATGTTCATATTCTTATAATGAACAATATTTGGATACTTATATTGCTCATAGTGTAAGTCCAATTACGTTTATATTTTGATCATTTAAGCTTATTTTCAATAATACATATTCACATATATATATATATATATATATATATATATATATATATATATATATATATATATATATATATATATATATAAAGTGTAGTGAACGAGAACACAAGTAGGAACAATCCAATGTATTTCAATTCAAATATAACAGAGTATCTTAGTCAAATTTCAGAACCATATATTAAATACTTCATTTGTAAATACTTCACCAATCATCTCAGATTTCATTGTTCCTTCGTTTCTACATCAATCATTCTTTGTTTTCGTTCTTTTTTCTTTGATCTTCTTAAGCTTCTGCTGCTAGGTATTTCACTTTTGATTGATGATATATACTACTAATATCTATCGACATCAGTAGCATACACTACAATAGTACCTTACTAGTATTTATATGTATATGTTTATTTAAAGATGAACAAAAGTACCAAATTCTTTCAACAGATTAGTTGTTTATCAATTCATCACATCATAGTTTTTCAAGTATATAGATTAAGCAAAAAATATACAAATAAACAAATACATAAAATGTTCTTAGTTTTGAAAACTCATGGATGTGTTCTGCTGAAGAGCCTCATAGTGTGATAAAACGGACGTCTAATGCTTCCAACTATTCAATGGTGGTTTAACATTGATCCATTCATGATATCAGTCTAAAATGTTTGAGGCTATAATTTATGGATGAACCAATCAAATTTAGGATAACAGGTTCTTGTTTTTAGCGCGATATTCACTCACCCATTCGTCTAAATAGCGTCTTGACATTTTAGCTGATGTCAGTTCATGATGATAAGCATAAATCTAAATCTTAACTTTTACTATTAACTATAAGTTCTTATCTTTATTACTCAAACTTCTTTATAACCTTCATTTAGCCCTATTAAGTAAGTAGACACTCTCAAGGTCACTTTGTCGTCGCTCAAAGGTCGTCCATAAATTACAGTTTCACTATATCATCCTTATGCTATGTATTTTTTTTTTGAAAATTACCGAGATTATACACTTGTGTTTAGACAGCCTATAACGATGAATTCTACATTCACTCATGTTCGCTTTTAGTTTTAGTAAAAGTTTGAATGATAGCTACGACTTGAGTGCAGTATATGCCAAGAATTCATTTCATTTGATGTTTGATCGAAAATCTAGTATCACTGTTCATCCGTTTCGCCCTAATATATGGCTTCTCAATGACGTATACTCCAGAAACCACTGAAGATCTATTTTTTGAACCTCTTGGTTTCGTGATTGGCCTCTAATAACTAGGTCGAGATCTAGTATTACACGTTCCTAACTTTAATCAATTCATGTTATAATGAAACAACCAACTACCGATAAGGACTACGATTTTACTCCTGAAACTTAAACCTTCTGGGTTCAGTCCTTGGTGGGGATGTAGTTTTACACTTTTTCGGGACACGATGCTAATACTAAACAACCCTTAAGTGATCCTCTGGTACACTAGTTAACATCAGTCTGTAACAAATCTCACCTTCAAAGTAAACTTGACCCCATAAAGATATATCATATGTACTAGTAACTCTTTATGGGGTATACTTCAGGTCATAGTTCCTCTTTGCAACTATTATCTTGCTAGGTTGCAACCAGATATACTACTAGACAACGTTTCATATCTTTATACATACTCGTGTCTTTATCTATTCACATTCACAGTTACTTACGCACATACATACGCCTGTTACTCCTAATTGAGCACAGGCGACCGACCAGCCTTCTCCAACCCACTATGTCCTGGGTCTTCTTTTCTAGTTCATCCAATTCTTATTCATTCTTCTCATGCCTATCTCCGTTTCACAGACTTATGTATTCTTCAGTCTTCCTCTCCTCCCTTGGCCTTGAGAATTCCATGTGAGGGCTTGCTTTGTGACTCAGTTGGGTTCTCTCCCACAATAGGTTGTTGCTAATAGTGTCTGGCCAAAGGATCCGAAGTATTTTGAGTAGACAACTGTTAATAAACACTTGTATCTTCTTGATGATGGCTTTCGTAGTTCTCCAGGTTTCCGCCTCATACAGTAGGACTGTCTTGACATTTGTATTGAAAATTCTGACTTTGGTATTGGTTGCCAATTGTTTTTAGTTCCAGATGTTCTTCAGTTGTAAATATGCTGCTCTTGCTTTGCCGATCCGCGTATTCACATCTGCATCACATCCACGGTGTTCATCATTGATGCTGCCCAGATATGTAAATGTTTTTACATCTTCCAAATCTTCTCCATCAAGTATGATTCGTTTGTTGCATGTTGTGTTGTATCAGAGAATATTGCTTTTCCCTTTGTGTATATTGAGACCTACTTCTGTTGAGGCAGCTGCTACACTGATTGTCTTCTTTTGTATTTGTTGTTATGTGTGCGATAGAAAAGCCAGGTCATCTACGAAGTCTAAATCGTCCAGCTACATATTCACAGTAATTTCATTTAGTAGTGAAAACGAATTAACTACTTGGAAGTAGTATAAGTATATGAGTAATTGTAGTTATTATAGAAATTTTATACCCAATAATGTATATATATACTTAGTAATTACTACTAATTTGATTTCAATTATTTCTTTCTTTCTTTCTTTCTTTCTCTCTAATTACTTTTCCATACATTTCTAATCTGGTAAAATCATTAAAACAATAAATTTTAGTGTTTTTCCTCTTAGTTTCCCCCTTTTTCCCTATGGGTAAATACAGATTCATTTGATGACTTTAGTTCACTTTCATTGAAACGTTCTTTTGGAACAAAAAAAAATACCTGTAAACAACATAAAAAGGTAATCAATGACTACTTCACTCTATTTATTTTGGAAGAAAGAAATGAAAATCATCCAAGATATAATGTACGCTTGTTGGAGAAGATTTGTAGTTCAAATGGATGATTTTAATGGAGTTTTTGTTCTCTGAGTTGGATGGTTTTACCGTGAAGCGTTTATTTTTCTTTTGAACGATATCATCATCACTTCAGAGAGAAAAAAGTGTTTGAATTTCTCCACATATCTTTCACAGTTTGTCCTTTAGATCTCGATATTGATTGGTTCTTGTTAGCCTTAAACTTTAAACAAGAACCAATCAACATCGAGATCTACAAGATAACATGTGAACCATATGTGGAGAAATTTTTAGACTTCATTTCTCCTTGAAGTCTGTGCTGATGATGATGTTGTTCAGAAAAACGATGAAAACTCCATGACCAAACCATCCAGTTTAGAGAACAAAACTTCATCATAAGCGTACGCTTATGTCTTTCGGCAAAATTCTCTCTTCTTCAATCTCTTATAGACTAGTGGTTTTGTTCTGTCAAATTATTACATTTATTAGGTTTCTTTTATCATTAATCTAATGGAAAGGATCAGTTTTATAAAGATTGTAGACAAGCTCTAGGATATAAGAAATTTAGGTGAAACAGGTTTTCATGGCAATAACATCTTAACACTGAGCATTAAAACAAATGCTTGAAATCAATTACACATGTAATCAGATCCTACCTTTATTGATTAGACTTGATCAGGATTTAGAGTACTAAGTAGTAAGTGATCAGCTAGTGTGTAGATACTCGGACCTAGAAGGGATCCGCTTCAACTCGAACTATTCCATAGAACGTCTTCGTAAAATATGAGAACCATACAATAAATACTTCATTAGCAAAATATCAGTCAATCGTCTCAAACTTCACTATTCTTTCACTTCCACACCAATCAGTCTTTGTTCTCGTTCTTCATCCTTCGAACTTCTTAACCTGCTGTCATCAGGTATTTCAGTTCAATTGATAATACCTGATACTTATATCTGTCAACATCAGTAGCACACCACATTCGTACCCCTTTTAAAGCAGTCGTTCTTGCACTTGTTCTGCTCGCCGTGCCACGTTCTCCTTCACTCAAGTCTGTATCACGCTCTCAGTCAAAATGTTGAGTCCACGACGCATTAACCTTCATAGCTCCACCAACCTTCCAGGCTATCGAAATCCGACGTACACCCAGCACCCGGGACGTTAAACACTTGAGCTTCAGCGATCTGCTGAGCCATCTACATTCGAGATACACCATCTTCGTCGATAAGACTCGCTACAACCAACGCCGATAACTAGAACATTATACTTGACGTCATCTCCCTGCACCAGACCGCCACAACTAACACCTCAGCTCCAAGTCCGCAACGGCATTCGAATAACAGCACCCTTCGACCCTCCTGGTTGAGAGAGACACCAAATGTAGTGAAAGAAAACACCAGTGGAGACAATCAAATGTATTTGAATGCAAAATTACAGAATGTTCTAATATCATCTTAGAAGTAAGTGTCAACTAGTTGTCTCAGACTTTACTATCTCTTCGTTTCCTTACCAATCATTCTCTGTTCTCGTTCTCCATTCTTCGATCTTCTTAACCTTCTATCACTAGGTATTTCACTTTCGATTGATAATACCTACTACTTATATCTGTTGACATTAGTAGCACATACCATAATATAATCATAGAGATAATTGAAAATACACAAATTAAATTACATTTACAGTTTATCTTTTTTATTCATTTAACACATTGTAAACTCATTTCATAATGTTACTTTCACATATTACTTAAATATAGAATTACATAATACATATTATAGTAATTCATTCATTCAATATTAATCATTGATAATAATTACTACCCAAGGGATTCATTTCTTCCCAATTAAATAAAAAAAACATTTTGTTTATTTAATAGTTGGGCAAGATTTTTTTCTTTTGTCTGTGTGTGTGTGTGTATGTTTTGATGAAAATAATGAGGGTAGTTACCATAGTATGAAATTAATCATTGATGGAATGAGTATTATAGGGAAGTCGAGATCTGATGGTTGAGATCCAAACAATCTGAATAGTACAGATTAATCCTATAGTACAACCACACAGGTATCCAGCATCCTAGTAGATCAAGTAGTCATCATAGCATGAAATCAATCATTGATGGAATGAGTATTATG